AATCTTCAGCCCACTGTTTCTTAGTTAATTGTAATGGTTCCCTCTTGTCTAGTTACACTTCCTGCAGCTCATCCTATCCTAGCTGTGTTTATAACCTAACTTTGCTGGCAGGTAGGTATGCCTAACTCCTAAAGTCGTTTTTTCCCCCCTTAGAATATGCATTTTTCTTTACAGTTTTATAGAGCAGAATATCATTTATTGATATAATTTACTTTTTAGCACAGAAAAATAAAGGAACAAATATTGGTATGTTCCCAGTATTTTTCCTTAAGCCTTATTTTTTATTGAAATCTGTTATAGGAAAGGATTTTCAGACTATAACTTTCAACTGTTTTGTTTGTTTTGAGGAAAAATCTTGAAAACTGTTAGACTTTTGTTAGTGTTTCTTGGTATTTGGGGGCATCTTTTCCTAGCGTTTTGAGAAATACTGGCATACTTCCTTGCACTGCTTTCAACAATGCAAAGTCCATGTTCACTTGTCTCCCTGCACAAACAGGCTTTTTCCTCTGTTTTTTAATAAGGTTTCCTTTTATACCTACAACTCTTCACAAAATGAAAGGACAACTTGAATCGTGTCTTTATTACAGATGAATGATGTTTAAAGTAATAGGGTATTTTTGTGAGGTACAAAACAAATTACGTTTATTGTAGACTGTTTGGGAAGTACTCTTAAGAGTAAAGGAAGGAAATTAAGTGTTCTGTGAGCCATGAATGTAGATATAGCCCCTATACACATTTTACTGTGCCTCCTTTCATTCTTTATTGACCTTTTGTTTTAAATTAAAAATTCTGGTTCCAGTAATGTATAATGAAGTTTTAAGTCAATAGAGAGATGTAACTTCAAGTAGAGAATAGGAAACTTTAATATGTGTAGTAGAAATGTGAATCACACCTAGCAGGTATTGAGGGCATAAAACACCATTTCCAGATTCTACTTTCTTAAGATGCTGTTAAAACTGATAGGGAGCCCTGGTGGTGCTGTGGATTAGGCAGTGGTCGGTGAGGCAAAGCCACCCGCTGCTCCATGGGATACAGATGAAGCTGTCTCCTGCTGTAAACGTGTCATCTCAAAAAGCCTAGGTAGGAGGCTGCTGTGAGTCAGAATTGACTCGATGGCATTGGATCTGGGTTATCCAAACTGGGAGGCTAAGAAATGAAAAGTTTTACACACACCCCCCCCCCAAGTAGAAACTTTAAGTTAAAAGGGAGAGTGGGTAGTTGACGAAATGAAGGGGGAAACTTCAAACCTTCAACTGAAATAAAATATAATGCTGTAAATGTGGATAGAGAAACCCTGTCAGATGCTTTTGGTTTGCACCCTGATGAAGATTTTGACAGCACTGCTCCCTGAAATGATCTTGATGTGCTGCCATTCCATTCTTTGCGGAATGTAGCCAATTTAAACTGCTAGAATTTCTTGACATTCAGATGCTGGCTTATCTGAGTCAGCATCTTGTTGCTGCAGCAGCTTAATTAAATTTGCCAGTTTGTGCCACAAGGACAGACATGTTCTCATATTCAGGGAGACAGCTGTGAAGCAGGATCGTTAAGAGTTGCGGACACAATACTGTTAGGTTTGAATAGCTCTCAAGACAGTTTTTTACTGAGAAATCAATTTGCTGTAATACATTTCTCCCAAGATCAGCAGTTAATATTCATTTTGTTAGCCTAAAATATTCTTATTTTTATATAGTTAGTTACTGGAGAAAGTTTAGTAGATAAGTATGTCATCTTCTTTCACCTGTATTTTCAGAACCAACTTAAAGCATCCTTACTTTAATTTTTTTTAAGTAGTTTTATTAGGGGCTCATACAACTCTTATCACAATCCATACATACATCAGTTGTGTAAAGCACATTTGTACATTCGTTGCCCTCATCATTCTCA